ACGGTATCCAACCATTTAGTAGCAAATTAGCCACAAGCATTTGAATTCTCTATTTCATTTCTTTTTCCCTAATAAAATTAAGAGAAGCTTGGTATTGCATGAAAATGTACGCAGACACATATTTATTGATGTCAAGAATGTGCAAAGTTCTATCTTTAGAGAGAAGAAAGAATTGCCAAAGAATTTCCCAAAGTTTTTTTTTCTCTCGCAGTACACAAGGATCTAATCTGTGGGTAGTTGATAGTTTTCCAGACTTATGTGTGCTTGGAATGAGCATGGTTTGTAGAGAACTCTCTGTCTCTCTCCTTCTTCATCCTCCTACCCCTCTCTCTTTGCCACGCCATATGAAAACGTTTCCAGAAATGCCTCTTATTATATTATCTATGTGATTAAAATCAGAGCAATATTGTCTTTTAAAAAAATGGACAGAGTTACAATGCTTGTAGAAGACAATCCAGGCAAGCAAATGGTCAATTGAAGTATAAAGGGGCAAAATGTTCCTTACCTTATCTGCTCGGATGACGAATAGCAATTTCTGAACTTGCAGGAACGGCAATGCATTGGATGACTTTTGGGCTCAACCCAAAAAGAGTTGTAGTAGGAATAAAATTCAGATTCTCATTTAAACCACCTTAAGTTCTTGTGGGGGGAAAAGGGGAGTACTAAATAAAACAAAGTGAATAAATGAAGTGAATAATGTGAAAATATTGTCCTACATTACCTATGCAGTTAAATAAAGAAGCAATGGGATTGTATCTTTCCTGTGATCTCAGGATTCTTATATTCCAAATAAGGATAATTTAAATCCTTAAATTTGTGAGAATAGAATCTTCATTATCTAGGATAAAATTAGCCAGGTTATTTTTGAAGAATGCCAATAGGTTCACTATTTATTTAAATTTGAACTTTATCTAATAGCAATTACCTCTGGATAATTATGGTTAGCTTGTTGTTTACAAGGAAAGGAAAGGCTTACCTAATCTTGTTACATTTGTTTTGTTTTTTTTCCCAACCCCCTGTTCAATCTTTGAAAGATGTACATGAGCCTCTTTCTGCAGCCTGGTACCCTTCATTAGCATTGGACTATAGTTCACATCAACTCCCATTATGAGCTACCCTGGCTGAGAAGATGGAATACATCTGGAAATAGTTTGTTTCTGAAAAATAATTGTTTTTCTTTTATTGTTTCCAAAAAAACAATTGGAAGTAAAATATGAAATACCGGGATTTGCAGATCAAGCGTTGAAGCTTGGGGGGGGGGGACTTTTTAATACTAATTGTGATTAGAGTCTTGTAGCAATACCTAAAGGATTTCTTCAATATCCAGAAATATTGAATTTATTAGACTTGAACACCCTAATTTTACAAAAAAGCAGCCAGCTTTGGAACTGCCTATATTCTTAGACGTTATTTTAATAATTGTTAGCTCCTTGTTAAGGTCTTGAATTATTAAGTTTCCACCAGTCTTAGACTGAAAATCTAACTGTTGATTACCCACACATAATAAATAATAATAAAAGTTACCTAATTTTGTTGCATCTGTTCCTTTCCAACCCCTATTCAGTCTTTGAAGGATGTACACTACATAAGTGTCTTTCCCAAGGCTTGCTCCCTTTATTAACATTGGATTACAATTCACACCAATGCCCATCTTTAGCTACACTGGCTGAGGATGATGGAATGTACCTCAAGAGTGTGAGGCCAGATATGAAAGGCCACTTTCTAATCTCATTCTTTCTTCTTCAATCTCCTTCTCCCGATATCTCAGTTCTGATCTGTTCCACCTTCTTCTTCATTTTGCTTGGTCTTCTGACATCGTCTGAGGTGGTTAGGATACATCAGCTCACACCTCAGCCTGTCAGGACACAGTGCCTCCTTTTCTCCAACCCATCACTTCATTTCAACTTCAAAGAGGGTTGCTGACTGACCTGCCTTGTTAGGCATAAATAATGACAATGAACCGTGTTGCCTATTCTTCCCCTTTTAAGTTTTGGAAAGCAGTAGAAAGCATTCTCTTAAACCCAGTCAAGCCATGACCAACAAAGGCACATATATATATATGTACATAAAACAAAGTCTTTACCAAACATGGCACTTCTGTTTTGTAATAGAATCAGCAAATACACCCTGTTCCTATCAACCTAGAATGCTGACATTCTGACAGCTTCTTTGCTATAATTCTCATGTCTTGGAATTTCTACTATAATTCCTATATCATCTACCTCAGTTCCATTGTAATTGTGTATATGTATGTGGTGCATGTCTGTGTGTCTGTGTATAGAAAGAGAGGAGCCAAAAATATTGAATTTATGAAAAACCACATTCCTTGCATGGTTTAATACCACTGGGCCAATAATTAGCGATGACTTCTGATACTTGGGCTTCGACTCTGACAAGATCCCATTGTCACTAAACCTTGCAGGAAAAAAACCCAAAGCTTTCTAGAAGATCAGGAATATCTTTACCATCAGTAAATTGGGAGCAGAGAGGCAAAAGAAAAGAAGCAGAAAGATAGCAAAAATTCTTGGAGGAACATATATTGCTCCTCTATTTTATAGCTTTTGATTCTGTTCTTTCTACATAGGGGAATTGTCTTTTTCTTGATAAAAATTTTGCATAACTGCCCCATGCCGTGATAATAGTCTTTTGAAAAGAGTGGCAAAGTTGCCAAGGTGTACGTTTACACAAAGGAATGCCAAGGCTATCCACGCCAGCAATTTCTATTGCTGTAATAATATATAACTAAAGTGGATGTACTTTAGATTGCAAAAGTAATGGTTGGATGATGCTGTAAAATTTTGGCTAGGTTTCCCAAAGGAAAAGTGCAGGCATACAATACTACAAATCCAGAATTCAGTTGAATTCACAGGTAATGCACAAATTGGCTTCTCATGATCTTGCCAGTTGGAATCCTCTAGATATTAAATATCATTATGGACAGAGCAGAATTTACTGTGTTGGGAAGGCAGTCTTTTGGTATTCGCACCCATGAATTCAAGGTTGCTGTATAAACACGTCTGTGTTTGGGGGGGGGAAATCTCTCATCTGGCACATTACACTCAAATCAGTTATGTTAAATCAGGCCAGCACAGCTGGTGATCCAACAAGCTGAAAATGAAGTCTCCATGAATGGAGATGGAGAAAATGAAGTGGCAATATCAGGTTTTGGTGACTCTCAGAACTAAAGTCTGAGGCAAGCAGCGGAACTCAAAGACTGTGATATTTCATGTGATGTTTCAACAGTTGTGCAGACCTACATTAAACTGGCAAAAGTCTTGATTTGTTAAGAGCTGCTTATCTAAACTTCTAGTCCTACTGCAGTACCAAAACAACAATTTCCACCAGCCCTACATATAGTAGCTGATAGGTTTCAGCCAAAGTGCTTTAGCTTTATTATTTCAAGAGCACATGTTAGCTGCTACCTGAGTTATGTTCCCAGAGAAAGAGGAGACTTTGGAAGGTGTGCCTGTGGTAGCATGCCTAGTCTGTTGCCATTTCCTAACCTTCCTGTTGTGCAGAATTGCACTCTTACCTGGATTCTGAGGCCCTGTGCATGGTCACTCATGCCCTAGTCACCTCTTGGCTAGATTAGCGCAGCACACTCTACATGGGGCTACCCTTTTTTATTTTTTATTTTTATTTAATTTGTCAAACATGTACTAGATAATAGGTATAAGTATAAACATGGACATGAACTAGGAATGAGTACAAGTAAATGGGGACGGTAGTACAGGGATGGTAGGCACGGTAGTGCGCTTATGCACACCCCCTTTACAGACCTCTTAGGAATGGGGGGAAGTTCACGGTAGACAGTTTAAGGTTGAAGCTGTGGGTGTTTGAGGATGTAACAACAGAGTCAGGTAGAGCATTCCAGGCGTTAACCACTCTGTTGCTGAAGTTGTATTTTCTGCAATCGAGTTTGGAGTGGTTTACCTTGAGTTTGTATCTATTGTTTGCCCATGTATTATTTTATATAAAGTTTATTGTCATTGTACGTATATACGCACTATACCCATACAACGAAATTCACATAACACCCAGAGACCAAGCCCAACACACATGACAATCTCCAGACACACCCCCACCCACCAAAAATTCCCCACCCCTAAACCACCCAAGCATCCACACAGGAGATCAAGTAATTGATCTGAGTATTATGAAGTATTATTGTGGTTGAAGCTGAAGTAGTCAATGACAGGCAGGACATTGTAGCAGACAATTTTTTCTACTACACTTAGGTCAGACCGTAGGCGGTGTACCCTGGAAGACTATTTGGAAGCTGCAACCGGTGCAGAATGCAACAGCGTGCAGAGTCCTGGGAGTTCCTAGGTCTGCAGATATAACACTGTTACTATATGAGCTGCATTGATTACCAGTTTGCTTCCAGATCCAATTCAAGCTGTTGGTTGTTACCTTTAATGTGGCATGGGTCCAGGGTATCTGAGGAGCCATCTCTACCCAACAAGCCTGCCCTACTCGTGTCAGTGGAAGAGGCCTGCTACGGATCCCATCTGCTAAAGAATTGAAGAAGGGAACAAAGAAAAGATTTTTTTCCGCTGTGGCGCCATTTTCCTGAAACATTCTACCACAGAGGTGAGATCTTTTGACCTTCTGGAAGGGTATTAAACCTGGCCTGGGACCTGAGAGAATCGCTCACCACTGGAGATGACTAACGCATCTCCCGTCCCATCCATCTCTTCATTCTTTTGTTTCATTAGGTTTTAGTACAGTTTTTAATAAATATTTTACTCTGCATAGTTTTTAATGTTTTAATGTTTTAATTTTTTTTACTTGTTTTATAACTTATAAGCCGCCCAGAATCAACTTGTAGGAGAGATGGGTGGCATAAAAATTTAATTGATAAATAAACCAAGAAAACAGAATCACGTCCACAATCTTATCTTTGTGTGTGCACACAGCCTCTTAGTGTCTTTCTGTCATGGCCTGTTTCACCATTTGCATCAAGGAGAGAGAAAAAGAGAAGAGCTGCTGCTAAAGGAATCATTGGATCCTCTCTTCCTCCCCTTTGGAGAAACAACAGAGTGTAGAATGCTGGATATATGTGATCTATGAAACATGTAGGAGGTAACTGGGGACTAATTTTATTTGCTTTTTGGCTGTTGACTATTGAATGGCTCAGAAAAAATTAACGCTTGACTTAATAATAATGGGCAATTTACCCATGTTAAATTAATGTTCCACATCTACGCTATGATATAATAGTTAAAGCCCATCAGGACCATTCGTGGAGGGAGCTCTAAAAAAATCAAGATGATGTCCAGAACTGAGGAATTGAACCACACCCTAGTCCTGAGGTGTCCAACCTTGGCAACTTAAGACCTTGTGGACTTCAACTCTTCGAATCCATGCTGACTGGTGAATTCTGGGAATGAAAGTCCACAAGATGTCAAGGTTGGACAACCCTGCCCTAGTCATAAATCCATTGTTGACTTCTTTTATCCTCTCATGGGGGGCCCTGAAGCTTATTCTAATTGCTTTCTATTGGCTGATCTTGGCGTATGTGGTAAGAACAACAGGATGGATGGGCCCAACCAGAAGAAGGACACCAATTTGTCAGCTGCCTGATACTAAAAGGAGACATTTTCTGAAAGGGACTCACAAGATTCTTCCTGCATTCCTGGCTACAGGCCTTTCATAGCAGCAAAATGAGCTAAACACACCAAAACATGACTTACTAAAGTGTAGAGTGGCAGTTAAAAATTAAGCAAAATCAACCCTTCTTAGCCCACCATAAACCAAATTGGCCATCATTTGACTAATTTCAGGAAATAATGCCAAAGTACTGGAACCAAAACTATTATTTATTATTTATTTATTAAATTTATTGGCTGTCCATGTTACCATAGGATAATTCTGAGTGAATTTGTATTATAAAGAGACATTGACCTTTAACTTCAGGGAAGCTGAGGGCCAGACTTCATTTCCGCTGTCTTCCTCTATTTTCATTGCACCCAAGGTCAGTATGTACTATCTTTATTGCCTTTGTTCACGGGAGTCAATGCCCAGCAGACAGAAGGCATATAAGGACTGTGGAAATATTTTAATAGATAAGTTGAATGAAAAGGCTTGATGCTGTCTAAATTTTTGGGATACAGCTTCTTCAGCGGTGAAATCCACTTACCTTCGCTACCAGTTTGGGAACGGGAGTGCGCATGTGCTATGTGCATGCACCTCTTCTGCACATGCGCAGAATCTGCGCATGCGCAGAGGGTAAAAAAATGGGACATAACAACGTCCTGGCGGGTGGGCGGAACCTCCCGCCACCGACGCTACCGGTTCAGTGAGCTGTACAGAACTGGGCGGATTTCACCGCTGAGCTTCTTCCACTATAGGGCTGAAACACTACCCTCATTTCTCGGTCTGTAAAATGCCACACCAGCTTGGGGTGACTCACAATCAGAGAAACAGAAAGTACAATAAGTGCATGGTCATATGAAACGAAACAAAAACAGCATCAATAAGTGGACACAATTGGCTAAAAATGAATGAGGATATAAAGTAACCACTCGACCCTTAAATTTTTGTTTATAATCTTTGTTGTTTTTCACTAGAAATATGTTTTGACCATAAATGAGTTTTACCATTATATTGTCGTGTCACTAGATGGTTTATTCCTCATGGCAACTTAGACTGAAGGTGTTCTGGAATATATTGAAGAGAATATACTGGCAGTAGCATTCAATTCTAATATGAATGATCCTTGGTGCTCTCTAAGCTTGCTTCTTTTCTTGCAGATGTTTCATTACCCAAACTAGTTAGAGACTAGCACTGTTAGATGTTACCTAGTTTGGATAATGAAAGATCTATAAGAAAACAAGCAAGCTCAGAGAGCACCAAGGACCACTAATTTCAACCCTGAGCTACAAATATTCTCCTTTCCTGAAATTCAGAATATAGACTTTGATGAATATGTCGATGAAGATTCTCAGTCATCTGGGGAGAGTCCTCTGAAAATTGAGTCAGGACTTCTTTTGGACTTCTTACTTATTTACTTACTTGTTCGTTTCAAATGAATAAGCTATTTGAACAAGCAATGAAACCTTTCGAACCAACAAGAAAAGAAGTTCCGTTGCCATAATTCAGCTTCCAGACACTTTGATAAATGGAAGCAACAACTTTTATTCTAGGCTACTCTTTGCCCTCATTACTTTTAGCAAAGAATACAGCTCTGTAAACTTTTCTATAGCAATAATAATAATTTTTATTACAGTCACGGGCCAGCGTCATTTTTCTACACCAAAAATGCATTGTACCAAATCCTTCCATTAAATCAAAGCTCAGTTGCTTTTTTAAAATCGTCCCCCTCCTCCTCCCCCATTTTCCATCCCTCCCCCTCCCCACCCTCATTAGTTTAACTTGAGTTAATTAAGAATAGTAACTGAACTTCAGTCTCTTATGTGTTAAAGCAGAACAATCCCAATCAGAAAGACGCAGACATAGCTATGTGGTTTTATTGTTTCAAGGAGACAGAAAACCAGCAGGGCTTCCTTTATCAAGGCCACCATCTTTCCAATACTTAATCTGATGAGTTTAAAAAGGCCCTGCAAATACATCATCTAGGAAAACAATCTTTCCACGTTTCCTTTCCCACCCCCAGCTCCCTTGCCCAGTTTCATCGCTGGTCAGAATGAGTGAATTGGACTGACATGGAGGTGATGGAAAGAGAGAAATGGTCTGAATGTCAAAATGACAATGTATATTACATGGTTAGCAGAATAAATGGTATGTGGGTATTTTCATCCCCTATGTCATAAATAAGGTTTTTGTTTTTTGCCATCTAAATGTATTTTAGTTTCTTTCCACTTAGTGCTTCTTAAAGGATCACTTTCAAGAATCTGTCTTAATAAACAGGGCTCAAATAGAACTCTTGATAATCACTTGTGTGTCTGTAGGTGTGGGTGTGGATGTCTATATATCTATATATATATGTCATGAATGATATTTTGTTGTGTTGACTGCAGATTCCGGGACACAGTGTGCTGGTCTGCTATTAATGAGGACGTGCACCAGATATACAAACTAATTTTGAAGTTGAAAGGTAAAACTTATTTACTATGTTTATATATGTGTGTGTGTGTGTGTGTGTGTGTGTGTGTGCATATATTTATATATTGTTTTGGGATATGAGAAAAATTGACAATCATATTCTTAAGTTCAAATTTTTTTGAGCAATCGCAGAAAAGCTCTTTATTGTCTGTGGGAAAGTTTTAAGAATATCTTTCTGCTGCAAAGAGCAATGCTAAGAAATTGCAGGGTGTCATTTTGTTTTCAAAATCCATTTAAGTTATATTGAATATGTGATTAATATTGAAAAAAGCTTGTTCGGCTTTGCCTCTATAACAGAAAGCAGAGAGGGCCAAAATGCAGCAAGAGATATTGTATGTTTGAAGACAACAGTCCTTAGCTTATAAAACAAGCAGCAAATTCTTATAAAGAGTCTTTCTCTTGAAACGTAATGAAACATAGAATTTTCTGCTTTTTTGCTTTTCCAAATCTGTAATGACTAAATTGGAAATAAGGGGATTTTTGTGTGTGTGATGCAATCCACACACATAGCAATCATTATTAAATGAGATGAAGAAATTGATGAACACCTTTTCTTAAAAGAAATATGTTTAGATGCAGTTAGAAAACTCTGATTATACTTTTTAAATGTTACAGATATTTTATATAAGAGGATACTGTAGTTAGCCTTTAAGTAATTTGTTTCTTTGTTTAAGTTTCAGAGACTGTGCTTTGATTTAAGGAAACACTAGATTTAGGCATGCACCTCAGTCTGAAGAAAGCTAATTATTTGATGGCTAAAATAGAAATATATAAAATGTACCCCAGTAAACACAGCAGGACTTATTTTGAGATAAACATGCGGTAATTATTCTACCAATAGAAATAAATAGATTGAAATAGAACAATTTTCCATATGTGAACTCTCATGCCAATATTAAAAAAACACAAAGGAGTCTGATACATTTCTAACTCTATCCTACTATACTATTTAGAAATAAGTATTGATAAGTAAAACCAATAAAACTGCTCCTTTGCTAAAGTAATGGGAAGTTTATTATATTAATTCTAACTACTGGAATGCTTATCCTTAAGATTCTTCAAATTCCACAACAATCTACAAGAGCAATTGCTTCTCATTAATCAAGATATAAATATTATTCAAAAGCTGTAAAACTGGCGATTTGTTAGTGTTAGGTGAAAAATAACATTTACATGCCTGTCCTAACAGATTAATGACATCTAATTAATGAATGAATCTCACAAGGCATAATACAGTTGTATTGATCTATTTTAAGGAGTTAAGCAAAACATTACGTATAAAGTATATACTTTAAATATTGCAGGTACTAAAATATATAATATTTTGCCGTTTTCAAAGGGGAAAAAAGTACCATCCATTTTGATAGTTTTTTATTCCATATCAAAATATTTAACAATGCAATTCCATATGTATTTTCAGAAATAGGTGTCACTGAATTATTCCCAAATAATTTTGCGTCCAACTGCAGCATGTATATGTGTGTTTACTGTCATTTGCCTCTGATTATTAAGTATGCATTTGAATTTTAAGAAATGCAAACAACATTTACCTATTTTCCTGTCATAATTTCAGTATTTTACATTTCCATTTTGGTCAAATATAGGACAGAACACACGCTTAGATTATGTTCATGGACACTCGAATGCAATTTCAACTAAAATGAAAGATTCTTCATATGCCTCTCTTCTATCCTCAGAGGCTATGCTGCATTATATTATCCAAAATTAATCTTCCTGTCCACTTTCAATTAGTATGATTACTGTCAATATTTTCTTAATGTTGGCGGTACAGAAACTCCTGGTTTTAAACCATTCACTATTTTTCACATCTCTTGCATGTCGTTTCACAACATATTCCATATTAAATTTACACAGCAATCCTCAGTACTCAAATCAAGCCTTCAGTTGAATCTTATACTGTAACGTTTCCACTTTTCATACTTTTTGAATAGTTTTGAATCATAAATCAGTTTGAATTAGTTGTACACATTAGAGGTCACCGAACTTAACAAACATTTCGACGGTTCATTGATATTTGCTGTAGGTATTTGTTCAAGCGATTTACTGTGACAGGAAAAAAAATAGTAAAAAATTGTACTACTTTAACCTTTTCACCAGCAATTATTCAAGTGATTGATCTTTTTAATGGTTAAAGATAAATAGGCTCTAAATTCTAATGCAAGAATCATGCAGGCAGATTTTGTGGATCCTCCTCTCATAAATCTATGTTTAGTATTGTTACTACCCATAATTCATTCATGGCATAAACCTAGCATTTTACTCAGAAATAAATCCCCTCAGTGTGTAGAATTTGAATTTCCAGGTTCTTGCCTAAATTATGTAATTTCAGAGTTACCTATCCATATGTATCCTCATGTTTTATAGGCAGCTATAGTAAGTCTTCTAGTGTTAGTAAACATCCAAGTACCTTTTAAATCAAAATCTATTTGCCCAGAGGTATTTGGGACGGTCTTGTTCCAAAGGTGATTACTGATCCAGGTCAGCAAATGTCTCTGGAAATGTCATAGATTGAATCAGTATTTTCTGAATGCAAAGTCAATGGTTGTCTCTTCTCAAGACTGTTGGATCCAAATGTGTACATTGATATAGGATTGTTACTCACATATCCAATCTCTCTCTGGTCAAGAATCATTGTCAGCTTCTATTTGAATCCACCCAGTAAAAGATTGGTTCTTTTATCCAAATGTTCCTCATGTTAGAACATTTGTCCTAACACTCTGCTAAAATCTGTCCTCATTGCCCACGTCTTGGCCACCTTCTGTGTGATGTCCTTTCAGGCACTTGAAAAAAGAGCTATTGTAGCATATCCACCCCACCCCAAACTTCTCTTTTTAAGATCAAATATTCCCAGTTCCATCAGTTTTTCTTCAACAATGTCTATTCCCTATTCACCGTCATTCCCTTTCTTTGAATCTGTTCCAGTTGGGATCATTCTTAAACTATGATGCTCCGCTGTGGACACAATATTCAAGATGAGATGACCAATGCAGAATAAAGTATAATTATTACATATTTAACTGTATCAACCTTACCTGGAATTAGAGAATAAAGATTCCAGTTTTAGTAGACTTCTATTATTTATTGGCCAGGGTATCTATTGCTTCCACTTTGGTATTCTAGAAAGGCTACAATTTATAAAATAAGTGTATTATAGATGATAAATCGTAGGGAAACACAAATGGCTAATTTATCACAAGATACTAAAATTTTGTCAAGGAAAACGTAAAATAAAATCAAGAGAAGAACTGGTAGCAGAGAGGTATGATTGTCAATGGTTCAACAATGGATAATTACTAGAAATATTTAAAGTAGACAAAATAATTTGTGGTTTTGAGCATTGTACATCTGAGTTTGAAATAGAATTGTGTACAAATGATGTAATTGTTAAAATGTATACTAATTGAAATTTGAAACAAAAGAAGAACAAGTGATAGAAGGATGATAAAGTAGGCTAAAATGTTGGTTACAATAAACTGATGGAACAATGCAAAAAATTGTGGCTGAAAGGATTGAAAGTTACACCATGTTACAGTCTTAAAGTTAAAATATAAAATGATGTATTGTTGGTATATCTTACCATAGAAAATGTTTAGAATATATAAATTTAAACTGGGAATGTGAGCAACAAGAAAACACATTTTTTATCATCTTTACAGGTTGTATAAAAAAGCTAGAAAATTCTGAATTCAAATATTAATGAAAAATCCATTGATTCAGAATATTTTGGAGATTAATATTACAGCTGAGACCAAAGATTTTTCTTTCAGCATTGATAAATAAATAGTTGGGGAAAGAGTTATGAAATTTTGTTTGTACGTGATAATTGCAGCGAGATTATCATATGCACAAAGATGGAAAGAAGAATGAAAGAATGGTTGGTGAAAATGATAGAACTTGCTCAGATAGCTAAATTGATTTCCTTGAACCGAAAGCTTTCTGGGCATTCAGTTCTCATAGAAAAGACAATTGTCTATGTTAATTGCTGTCTGGAAATCCCTTACAGACTTCTTGTAGGACACAAAAAAAGGTGAACATATCCATATTTATGGTTTTGATGATTAGAGATGATAGATGGAAAGAAGAGGGATTTGTTGTAACCATAAGGTAAGAGGTAAATTACTTATGACTGCAGTAAAAAGATCGGAAGCTGCTTCTTAGTATCTTTTTTCTTTCTTTTCTATTTTTATTTTGTTCTTGCATTTTTAGCTTTAACTTTGATTTCTTTATTTTTTTTTCTTAGTTTATATTAGTTTTATCTCCCTTTTAAAAATATTTATTAAAGTTTATATATAAAGAAAGATTTACAGAATTTGCATAGATTCAAGGTGGTTAAACAATCTACCCTGTTTCTCCAAAAATAAGACATCCCCTGATAATAAGCCCAATCGGGCTTTTGAGTGCATGTGCTAAAATAAGCCTCCCCCCGAAAATAAGCCCTCCCTGAAAATATTTAAATGCAGAGCTGGAAATCAGGTAAGATGGCAAGAGGAGCTCCATCTTGGTCCATGTGCCCCAAAATAATAATAGCTCCCCAAAAATAAGGCCAAGCACTTATTTCGGGGTTCAAAAAAAATATAAAACAGGGTCTTATTTTCAGGGAAACACGGTATATAAAACATAAACCACCGATAGCAGCAACCATAGATAAAATATCCACAATAAATCATGACAAATATAAACAGTTTCAATAACTATTGAAGCCATAACTTCATAAGAGCCTTGGTGGCACAGCAGACTAAAGCACTGTTAAGTAACACCAGCTGCCTGCAATTATTGCAAGTTCAAATCTCACCAGGCTCAAGGTTGAGTCAGCCCTCCATCCTTTCGAGGTAGGTAAAATGAGGACCCGGTTTGTGGGGGCAATAAGCTGACTTTGTATAAAAAAGAACACCGCTTGGGGGGGCCGAAAGCCCTACTAAGCAGGTATATACAAAAGTGTGAAGGCTATTGCTTAACGCATTGTAAGCCACC